CCATAAAAATACTTATTAAATTTTAAAATAATAAATATATGATTTTGACATGTCAAAATATATTATAAAAAATAGGTAAAATTATTGCAAAAGTAATCAGTATTTTAAAATTAAAAGTGTTTTTTAAATTTCTCAAACTTTCATAAACATGATCTCCAGAAGATTCTTATTTGGGTGGAGTTTTATATAACCTAACGGTTATACAAAATTCTTATAAACCATTTCAAAGAGCCATTGATCTCCTTGATGCGGCTGATTCTCCTTCGTCCCAGGAACCGCCTCTCCGCCTCTCCGCGGCTGGAGAGGAGTGTCCTTTCCTTCTTCTTCTCCTTCAACCAAACGGCTCCTTACACCAGAATCAGAGGAGCAGGTCGGAGAATTTCGAGAGTTTACGACGTGTTCTTCCAATCGGAGGCGTTGGGAAACTATCTACTTAGGAAAGAACAATTGGAAGAATGCAGGGTGGTTTCACCCTTGTCCTTACAAGTGGTGCTTAGCTTCCTTGCCGCCGGCTCCCGCGGTTGGACCCGCCGTCAGATTGTCAACTTCTTCAACGCCGATTCCGTCGATCATCTCAATTCCTTGGCCTCTCAACTCTGCGACGTCACCTTGGCCGATGGTGATCCCGCCGTTGGCCCTCGTGTGCGTTGCTCCAATGCCTTATGGCTTGACCAGCCCCTTACTCTCAAGCCCTCTTTTAAACAGATTCTCGACTCTTATTATAGAGCCGATGTGAACCTAGTGGACTTTCAGACCAAGGTAATGTTCCCTCTCAAATTATCTTTAATTAAATCGAATTTAAATTTCATATTACTCATGACATTGTCAGGTGCGTGCCATACCCTCTTAACTGTTAGGCATGCCAAAACTTGAAAATAAAAGCATGTTGCTTTTGAGTTTCAACTCCAAATTATCCCCTGTTTTTTGTCTCTTGAAAAAATCATCATCTCATTAAGTGTTATATTAATTGATGCATGATATAGATATACACAGGCGAGCACAACCCATTTATATTATTCGCCTTTGTAAATTGTAAATATAAATTCGTACGAGTGCCCTGTTTCTTGCCTTAAGGCTTGAGTTTGAGAGAATAGAACGATTTCATGTGTGTTTGTCCACTTGCTAACCTCTCTTGGAGTACGTATCTAAGGAACTTAATTAATGGAATCAAGAACAACAGTTGATGAGGTGCTTTGTGAAATGGCTATATATAATTTGCGCAGGCTGCTCATGTGGGGCAACAAATTAATTCGTGGGTGGAAAATGAGACAAGTGGCCAAGTTAAAGACCTTATTCGTGAGGGGTCTCTCAACAACTCAGTCAAGCTCGTCTTTACAAATGCGCAACACTTTCGAGGAGCATGGGATGAGAAAAATACTATGATCCGTAGAGACAAGCTTGGTAAGAAGGAATACGTAGTCAGTGCTCAGTTCATGGCTGTCAAGATGAAACAATTTGCTCGCCATTTTCATGAGATTCATGATATTCTCCACACATATAAAAAGCAAAGCAAAGAAAAGCGCACTTTCTCCTTTCAGTTCCATTCTCCGGTTGCACTTACTTCTGAACACTATGGGGAAGATCTAATGGATGTTAACGGCAGCACGACCCCAAAATTTAATGTTTCTTCTGAGGTGGAAGCTTCCAAAATGCTGAGGGAACTAGGGATAAGATTGCCATTTTCTGGAGGGAAGTTGACAGAGATGGTGACTTGTTCTTGTGATGGTGGCGGAGAAAATCAGTTATATGTTTTCAACATATTTCATAAGGCATTCATCCAAGTAAACGAACAAGGGACTGAAGCTGCAACAGCCACGGCTGCAATACTAATGTCTGGGTGCCCGCCATATTTGCCGCGTCTTCGTAGAAGATTTACACCTATCCAGCCATGGCTCCTGGCTGGTCAAACAGACGGGGATGGTACTTGTCCTGGCATTGCTAAAACAAACTTGAAGGTTCATCAAATATTCCGTCGTCTTCCAAAGCAGCGTCGTGGTTAAGGCTTTGTTTGGTTCAGGGTATGGGAAGGGAGGGGAGGTTAATTAAAAAAAAGTCATGGGTTTTGTTTGGATGGAGAGAAGGGTAAGGGAGGAGAAATTTTTTGTTTGGTTCATAAGAGGAGGGGAGGGAAAGTAATTATAAATTGATAAATACGTTTTTATCTCTATATTTAGACTGTTTTATTTTTTATTATAATATTTATATCAAAATTATTATTTCTTAATTTATCAATTTCAGAAAAAATCAATTACCTCACTTATATGTGATAAAAAAATTATGATAAAATTAAAAAAATTAGGAAATATGATAAGAAGTTTAAATTCTATCTCATTAATTATATGTATTAATATATATCATATGTATATATTATATAATTATAACACATATATTATGATATGTATATATTAATATATAGAGTAAAATATATTGACTACCCTTCCAATTTACTTAAATTACAGAAACCTCTTTTTTATTTTGAAAACATATATAAACTTTCTTTCAAATTAAAATGTATGTTACACAAACTTTCATTATATTTTTAATATTCAATTTCCATCTATATAACCGTTAGTTAACCATTAAATTTGACTTTTTAATTTTTATTTTGACTAAAATATCCCTTTTTAACATAAATGTTATTTAAACATTTATATCTTTTAAAAAAAATAATTTTTGATACAAAAAAATAATTATAGTACATGTATTTTCAAAATTTTTAATATGTTATAAAATTTTTAATTTCAATTATATTATAAAATTATATAATTTTAGTTCCTCCTAAAATATTGAAAATTAAGATTTTTTTAAATGGTTAGAAAATATTTTAAATACTTATTTTCTCATCACATAATATAAATTATGTGAGTTTGAAAACTTATATAAATCATTTAAATTTATGTTTGCATTAACTAAATTACTTAATTTTTGGCCTAATCCAGTAAAAACATTAAACAAACAACAATTTTCAAAAATAAAATAAATAAAATTTAGGTAAAGGAGAAAATCTTAAATGCTTCGATATAGTTTTAACCAAGATTTTGGAATTTGGCATTATGAAGGGTAATTTAGCAAATAGAAAGTATTTCAATATAAATTTGAATTTAAAAAAATCTTTTTGAAATATTCTTATCGGAGTTAACGATTTATATTTAAGTGTATGTTTTCAAAATAAAAAGGAGGTATGTGTAATTAAAACAAAATGCAAGGGAGGTTAGAGTATTTTACTCTAATATATATGCATGTTTGCAGCTTATCTGAGATTATAATACACACACTATGATATATAATTATAATACACACATGTTATGATATGTATGTATTATATAATTATAATATTTTATTATCATTATCAAATATTATTAGTGGTTGAAAAGAGAAAGAAGTGAAAAAAAAATTTCTAATAAGAGGGACAAACTTGAAATATTAAAAAGTTAGTATGGATAGTTTAGTTAATATTAAACATAATATTTCTCTCCCTTTCAAAAAAATCCCAAATTTGGAGGGGAGCATAAAGAGGAGAGGGGAGCACTAAAAGACAAATATTTTTCCTCTCCTCTCATCTATTTTTTTCCAACCGAACACACTTATCTCATCTCCTCCTCTCTCTCTTCCTTTCTCCTCAATAACTCTCTAACCAAACAGAGCCTAAATGTCTTACTCTCACTTCACGGATTCACATGGTTTATTACTAGTTTTTACGTAGTTCCAAGAAGTTTTTTTGGCCATAAAAGTTCCAAGAAGTTGATGATGATATTTTTGAAGGTGGGTTTTTTTTTTTTGGGCCTTGAGAGTCCATGATTGATGCACGGAGGTATAAGAAATATGGAAATGGTTATTTCAAAGCAAACTATTTTTTTTCATTCAAATTTGCAGATAGGCTCGCCCAAGGTATAACGTCTACTTGGTCTTGGGCAGTCTAACTGCCAAGGAAGACGTTAAACACCCTTTGGAAGTTAAATGACTTATTGTTTGAGTAGACATAAAATATTGTATGATAGTGTATTGTATATGACTTTGAGTACAGCTAAAAAGCAATATTAATAATTTATGAAATTCAAGCAAATCTCTATTTCGAGAATTTTCATGAGTTATATTGAATGTGCTCTACATGTTTTTCATGAAATTGTTACGCTTACTTTTTAAATAATATTTTGCAAAAGATATAAAATGCTTTAAAATTGTTTAATGCCAGCAGTTGCAACAGGTAAAATCCACATCAAGAAAATAATACAAGAACTGAATATCACTCAGCAAAGTGGATAATGCCTAAAACTACCCCTTGAAATGTACTCCTCTGGTCCTATTTATAAGACAAAAAAGAATGCATTTTTTGATATTATTTATAAAACATTGAGAGAAATTTTGTATGGATGTACAATTTTACCTCTCATTTATTATTCTATTGACTTTGTTTATATAAAGTATAATATATATTAAATAGAGATAAAGTTGGAAAGTCATTAACTTTTAAATGAGTTAATGAAGTTTAAATTTTTTTTGGTTTGTGTGAAACATGCTGAAAGCACTTTATAAATAGAACCAGAAGAGTAACTGCAAATTTTGACATTGAATTTTACATTACTAGACATTTTTCTGATATGTCCATCCGACTGGGTCAGATCATTTTCTAGTCCACTTGGGGTCATTCTCCTTAATATATTTAAATACTGGGGATGATAAATCAAAATGAGTTATTTGACCCTCATCCGCATATGATATGTAAACCAGTTCAACCATTAAGGTTATACCATACTGTGACAGGCATAAATTTGCAATCAAACTCGCGTCACTTTCTTTCATGTCTATTTATAACTGATTCAGTTTATCTATCTTTTTCTGACCAAACAAATAATTTCTTCGCAATAATTTTATCACACGTCAAATTCAAACTCTCAAGTAAATAATCTTTTCCCTCTTTCATCTTGAACAGTTCATAATACCGCTAATATGAAAGATCTTCCAAAGTGAAATAAAGATCCCCGTGTAGAAAAATATCAAGATGGAGAGAAAAAATACAAGGGTTAAAGAATAAATTTTCAATAAGAATACAGATACAGCTCTTACAACCAAAACTGAGCACAAATCAGCAAAAACATTAAACTATCTCAAGCACCTAAATTTGATTATAGAAAACTATATAACGGGGGATGCCTTGGAATGAACCATGCCCCCTCTATTTGGCACTTGTACTAAAACCAGTGCCTTTGAATAGCTTACTCTTTGAATGCTCACGAAATCATAATTTCGTAGATACAACTAAAAACCCAACATGCAGCCCGCAGACATCAACATCTTCACAGGAAAAAATTGCTTGTCATAATAACGAGTTTCTGTGCCTACTCATATTTTGATGAACTAGAGTATTCACCACCATTTTCCAATGAAGTTACGTTAGACGAAGCTTTTTCAGACAAACTTGCGTTAGAAGAAGCACTAGATGACGTATTGCTTCCAGCTGTAACAGCATTGTGATTGCTTCCTGATGGGTTTCTCTGTGCATTGTTAGGTGCAGGGTTCTGTGCCTCCTCTGCTAGTTTTCTGATAATGTTCATAACAGTTGGAAGAAATCTCGTGGACAAGGATATGAGTCCCGGAAGCTGCAAGCACACAAGAAATAAGGCAAATGAATGCTATTGCCGAACTGAAAACAAACAGATGGCAAGGCGCAGGTCAATTGGCTAAAGGACTTTTCACAACCCAACTAACTACTCCAGTGTAGATGTGAACTACATACGCTATGCTGCTTAAAACAAGACAGGGCAAAAGAGAACAAGTCACATGGCCTTAGCATACTTTAGGAACAACAGATTTTCTCTTAAACACAGCCAGGTTAAAAGTCAGAAACATAGCTGAAAACTCTAAAAATTTTGAGACAAATAGAATGTTAAAAAAATTCATCTAAAACCAAGATCCGAGGAGGCCTAAATGCCTGGCTGTTTATCAAACCCCTCTTTTCCTTCCAAAATCAAATAAATGTTAATAAATAGTTGTTATACCATACTTCTTCTACCAAATTAAAGGCCAGTTCATTTAAGATTAAAAAAAAAATGATCTTAGCTAGGTTAAACATGAGAAAGATGTTGGGAATATGAGGGAGTTGTTGGAAATATTGCTAAACACGTGAGGGATATGTTGCAAAAAGCTTATTTTGGTAAGCTACTTGGAATAGGTTTTATATTTAGACAAAAACATAAAAAATGCTAAATACAGACTTTTTTCCGAACAAAATTTTCACCACTAGTTTAATGTTTTCCCAACAACTCAAGTTAACTAAAATCACTTTTTCTTCAAGTTTAAACAAACCTGTCCTAAATGAATGATGTATATCTATTAACAAGTTTTCTTGAAGATGAATGACACCTGAACCATAATGGTTCAGTGGATAAACCCGACAAGAAAAGCAGACTTCCTACTACTAGAAAAGATAGCGACCAAGTTTAAAAGGGGGTAAAACTAAAGACACCACAAAATAAAGAATTGAGGGGTTGGAAAATAAATACTCACAACTCCATTGCTGAATTCATTAGAAATGTCCAGCTGCACCCATAAGGCTTTTACAAGAAGAAAACCAACAAAGATAACACCCAAATACAACGGATTTCTGCCACAAAATAACATGTGAGTGAAACCAGTTAAAAGGCTTTCTTGTCATTGCTTTCAAGTAAACATAATATGCTCTTCGAATACTTATTCAATAATTCATGCATAAAATGACCCTTTTAAATCGATCTTTTTTACACAGTCCAGCTGCCTGCATTACAGTTGTTGGTTTATTACTGTTCTAGAAGCATATGATTGTGTCCGAATATTCAGAGAATTAAGTTGATTGTGTGACCTTTGATCAGATTATTGGCCTTTGATGGTGCTGATCTAAGGTCCTTTTAGGGGAGTTTAAATAGAGAGGATGAAGAATGGTGAGCTTAACTTAGTTCTTGACAAGTGATTTTTGTTTGCTGTTCTAGCTTTTCTGATTTTGGTTTCTGAGGATTAAACTTATCTCCTGCTATTGTACTTCACCCAATTTCTTTCTCATAATATTTCTTCTTTTATATCCCAAGGGGGGAAAAAAAAGATTTTTTACGAAGAAAGCAAATTTCATGTAACTTTATGTCATGTATTCCTACATCAAATAAGTCTAAATTTCCTGTAGTCTTTCTTGAACTTTCTTCAGATAAGGCATGAGAAGTGTTAGCAGCAAGTGAAACAGCACTTCACTCCTTACAATATTGAAAGATATCAGAGCAGCACAGTTGACAAGTACCTTAGAAGGGTCATAAATTCATTAAATCCCAGAACAACCAAAGCAACAATTGCCCATGGAGGAGGTAACCAGTTATTATTGCGCTTGTTGGCCTCCTGAAATGGATAAAATTACATCAACAAAAATAGCAGAATATGTATAAACATCCATGACGGCTATATTTATATAACACATGGAAACTTAACCAAAAAACTAAGAAATAGAACATGCTTGGAACCATAGATTACATAAACGCATGGTTTCAGACATATGTTTAAATCAGGTCAAAAGAAAGTTAAATGTTTAAATGAAACTGTTGCCTACGTCTACCAAGCTGCATATATCTGATAAGGTAAGCTGTGTGTTTTCGGCTAACAGTTTAGATAGATGATAGACAAAAGAAACTAAGAAGTATCAGAAAATTCATGAGTAGTTATCATAGACATATTTCAATCATAAATACAACGCAACAGCAGCAATGAGTCTAGTCCTGCTAAGTAGGATTGGCTGTATAGATTGCACTCCGCTCCATTAACAACCAACTTTTTAGATATACCATTCAACAAAAAAGGTCACATTCGGTAACCTCCTTAAGAGTCCTTCTTGGGTCTTCATCTACACCTCTTCAAAAGACTCAAAAACATAAATGATGTGAAAAATCTTACCTGTGCAGATATGGCCTGAGAGACATGATACTCGGTCTCCATCTTAAATTGCCTCCATAATGATTTGCACTGAACAGGAGTGATCAATGTCTTCGAGGAAGGAACCTGCGAAGAAATTGTAGTCACGACTGATCATCAATTCCTATATAGAAGTGATCCCAAAGACCCGAACCAACAGAACAATCACAAAACAAGAAATGACAGGTTGTGCACTAAATTATGCATCTAAGCAATTCACATGTTGACATTAATTACCTTTTACATGAATTTAATTAATGAATATAGGCATTAAGAGAGTAAATTAACTACTCAAGGACCTCAACATCAAGATACTGAAGGAATTAGGGAAATGGTAAATTCATGGAAAAAGTTGACATTCATGCCACATTTGAATTTCTAGATATCTAAAATCACTTGATGTTCAATAAGATGACCTAACTTGTTAAAACAGTGATATGATTGAATACATTTGTTAGGCTCAGCAATAAAAATTGACCTGTTCCCATGTGCTTGAAGCCAGTGGATCAACAACCGTGATGCTCCTATCCTTAGTAATAGATCCTGAGGAATCATCCAGAGCAAATGCTAATGTTTTCTCAATATTATCAACATCTTGATCATCCAAACGAGTTGCAGCCATCACAGATAGCAACTTCAAGGACTGCAAACATTTAACTCTGTTAAACATATATCCAAAAGCAATACGAGCTCAAGCTAAAAACATTATATTCATAATGATGCCATACAGCAGAGCGGGAGGTCTTAGTAATGGCTCGAATGTCTTCCTTCCCCGTCCAAATACGAGGCATTGAATCAGAATCACGGCTGAATAATGTTGTAAACCTGTTTTCACATTGAAGGTAAGCTGCTTAAAATGTAGGACCCATTTAGAATAGCTTATAAATAACTTTCTAATCATGATTTACGGAACACGAGATAAGCATGTGGAAGAATTCTATCTCAACTTACGTGAAACGTGCTTATAAGTAATTTCTAATGCCATGCCAAACAGGGCCATAGAAGTTTCATGAAAGAATAACAAGATAAGTCAAATGTGCAAAAGGTTTATACCTATCCTTCATACGAATTAGAACCCTTCCAGCTTCTTCCTTAGCCTTGGCTTCCACCACACCTTTTGCATGGTCCTCTAAACTCGTAATCATGTTCTGTCGTGTTTGTTCCTCCATATCATACCCAGAAATTGCAGCAGAGAAACCTGAAACAGCTGATTCAGTTTCACGTCTAAGAAGTTTTCTTATTGCTGGCCAAGTATCACTGTTAGCTTCATCTAGAAGAGCTTCAACAGGTCCAGCTAAGGCCTCCTTCAATTTTTCCTGCAAGCGTACAGCTATCAGAAAACTTCCCAAGAACTATTTATCCTGTCAACTACGTAAATATACCAAATTACAAATGGAAGTGATTTGGACAAAATTCAAGTATTAAATACATATATATTCATTAAGCATAAGAGCGGTCAGATTATTTATTACTTGATATAATTTATAAACAAAATGTCAACAGCATACATTGTATCATAAGCGTACTGTGAATGGAAGTTCTTGCTCAATTCATATTATATTAGGAACCAGTGAAGTTGAAATCAAACCAACCGGGAACTAAAGTCAGCAAATCAAAAACTGTCAAATGTATGCTTTGTCATAAATGCAATGAACCTTCAGTTTTTTACAGCATAACTATCAAGTTTAATTTGATGGTATATTTAAGTTCTCTTCCAATGAACCTTCAGTGACGATTTTTGAGTATTTCTTCAATAGATAGCTAGCATAATTAGTGCCCATTTTGATAAGCTGTGGAGAAGTTATTTTGTACTACATCAGGTAAATATATGAGAAAAGTAGTCTTGAAAAGCACAAAAACATTTATTTTAAATTGACCCAAACAGTCATTTTAGTCTAATTGGACCTAAAAAGAGAGAGAGAAAATTAATCTTCAAATAACTCAGATTGGATGGATGTTAAAACAGATCAATCGACAAAATGATTATCATCCCAAAAATAGGATGTGGATGAATTGGGGTTCTATTTAAAACATTCTCATCAATTATAAATAGGCTAATCCATTATTTTCTACCTGTCCAACAAAATCAATTCACAATCTGCCCATTTCCGCCTCTGCCTCACACAATCACACTATTTCAACTCAAAAGCTTAAGTTGTTAAGAGAAGGCCAGTGAAATTTTTTTATTATAATATCTAGTGATTTCAAACATAGAATTTTAAATTTGTTTAACAAACTTTAAAATCTTTACTGAGATTAATTAATATGCATTCCATAAGATATGAACTATCACTGTAAGACATGCACCTGATATGATGATGTCAATTCAGACAGCTTAGCCGCACGCACAGAAGCAACATGGGCATCAATGTCACGACGCAGTTTCTCCCTCACTTTAGATGTATCCCAGTTTGCCTTTTCAATAACAACATCTGCAAAGATAACAGCAGCAGCCTCACATTGTAACTTACTTGAGCTAGTAAGAAACCTAATTACAATAACCATTACAGTAGCATCAAGTTTAGAAGTTCTGACAATTCTTAGTGAAACAAACCAAGAAGCTAGTTCTTAGTGGAACAAACCAAGAAGCTAGCAGTTTTTCACACAATTCTCTTCACTTGTACATTTCTTCCAGGTCATTTTTCCATCTTAAAAAAGTGATTATATCTTTGGGCATTCAAGTTTAATTATATGTTATCAAACACAGACAAATTTTCAAATACCTGCACATGCTTCATCAAACTGAGCCACACAAGACTCAACGCAGTTTTTAGCAGCAGCAGAAAACCCTTCCCCTCCATTCAAAGCCTTGTCAAATGCTTCTTTAAATTTATCAAAAGTTCCAGCCCTTACATGTCCCAGTGCAGATTGGAATGCTGGTTGGACGAGCTATCAGAGAAACATACAAATATTATAGGTCACACAAAAAATCACAATCCAATAGCATTTGAAGGGGAAAGCAAACACACTCACACATACAACTAAAGTTTCAAGATCCTGTAGTTATATAGTAAGTCTCAATTGTAACTTTTTTCTATCACTTAACCATTATCATTAATTTATCAATAAAGAAATTCATTTGAAAAGATAAAAATAAAAACTAGTCGCATTATTTATAAGTCATGTATAGTGCGATAGGCTCCACACTACTTTTTCCATTTGTTAATCTCTCTTTACATATTTCATTAGGCTTTGTTTAAATTTTATTATTATTATCTATTCAATATTTTTCCATACATTGCAACGAAATCTAAATATTATAAAAAAGAGTACAATCTTCCAGATACTTTGAAGTTACCGTCTATCCTGAGCATTGCAAGAGAGAGAGGCATCTAGTTATGATGAAAAGGAAAAAAGAAAGAAATGGAAAAACCATGACAGTGCAAGAATCAATTTAAGAAAAATTACTTGCAACAGCTTTTCTTGAAGCTGCTTTTGTTTTGCAGATCTCACGCCTTCATCAAAATAAGTGACTTCTATATCATACCTGCATTAAAAGGAAAAGCAATAGCTGAATATACATGAAACCACATCAAGATGTTCTACAACATTAAACATGAGCATGCAAAATAATATCAAACTACAGTTTAAGACTTTGACTTCTAAAACTACGATAGCATAAAAAAATAACAAAATAAAAGAAAATGCTCATCTAGTCAAAAGTTGGAGATAAAATATTGTCAAAACACGTCAAAAGTTAAAGAGAGTTAGTATAAAGCTTACATAGCATAGACATGGTATTCATTGTTCAATAACCAAGCTACTTAAAATAAGATGCCACATAAAATGGGTTACTCACTCTGAAAGACAGTTATCAAGAATTGAATTGAGCTTTTTCCCAAATCCAGGAATTGGGCCAAATTGCACAGCCTCCTCCAATTGACACCATTCCTAATGATTCCAGAACAATTTTCATTATGTCAATAATTTGGACTGCCCCAATGCCCATGGTTATGGGATTGAATGAAAAGAAATATTGATACCTCATTCGTACTAAAAGCAGCATATTTCTCGTTAGCAATTTCTTCACAGCGTACAGTAGCAACCATGACCTGCATAGCGAATCATGGATAAATGATCAAATTAAATCAATCATCAATCAATATACATGTAAAAATAAAACTAAAACAAAAACAAAAAGCAGCACTGTATTTAAAGACCACCTTGTGAGCAGGTAGGTCAAGGTCCTTGTTCTCCTTAATGACTCTCCAAATTTGCTGTGCACTGAAAGAAAACCCAGAAGCAGGAACTACTCCACGTCTATCCCCAGCAAGTCCACCAGGAGCAATAGAATGATGGAATCGTTGCCTCAAGCCAGCAACCTACATTTATAACGAACAAAAACAAAAGATATAAGCAAATTAGAAGACATTGTATGAAAGGCAAATTAATAGAATAACTTGTCTGCATAAACAAAGACAAAGATGCTCAGTAACATGCAAAGGAAGAGACAAAGGTCCTGATAAAGGATAATTTAATACCATCAGCAATTAAACAAGACATCAGATGCAAAATAAATACCTGCTCCTTAAATTGCTCTTCCTTTTCTTCATAACTAGAAAGGGCAACGACTTCAACCTGACATTTGTCACCACATATAAACAAGTATTATAAAATTGCACCCAAAAGATTCTTAAGACCTGTCAATTTACTAAAATAAAAAGGGATAATGGATTACATTGAAAAATTCACTTAGCGGGGTTTCCTTGTGAGCCTGTGGCTTAGGAACAGAATCCCATATCTGCAATGGGAAAAAGTTGAATAATAACAAACAGAACAATATCAATCAACAACATTGTATGAAGATCAAAGCACTGCCTTACCTTCTGGATATCCTCTCGTAAAACGGGCTCTAAATTTTCAAGGGGTGTCTATCCAATGGAAAGTTAAACATTTTAGTAAAGGTTATATTAAAGATGCCCTCATATAGAATACAGATATATAGATGCTTCAACATTTATGAAAGGGCTATGCTAAAAATGATGATGATAATAAAACAAATTTGCCTACACACCCTTGTTTTATCACGAATGACGAACATCAATGTCGTTTTGCGCGGACTAAACAATCTCATCATGACCTGAAAGCAAATAATAGTGTGCCTTGTAACAACTTTTGAAATTCAAGAAAGGCATGTAGTCAGTCAAAAGGTTGACAGCAGACACCTGAAAGACAGTTTTCAAAAGAGGTTTATTTGCAGCTTGCTCACGCCCAATGTCATGACACCACCTTTACAAAAGTTGCAGGGAAAATAGTTAAGTTACACAACCATTGGAACGATAATTTCAAGCATCCGCAGATTCTGGACTCACACAAAGTTCACTACACAAGTCCCCATCAAAGATATATGAATAGAGGGGGGAAAGACTCACATGTTTATGAGCACTATATCTGAAACAGCAAGAGCAAATAGAGCACTCTGCTTTTCGAAAGCGGTATCATCCTGAGATAAAGACAATTTCAACATTTAAAGATTAAAAAAAAAAAAAAAAAAGGGCAGGGACAATCGGTTTCTCAATTTTCTTTCATTTTTGGTTAAGGAACAGAATTTATAGACACATTGCCATATGTGCATTTTCAGTATATAAAATTGAAATGGGACTGGAAATTGGCAATAAACGCCACATCACAGTCATGGTTATTAAAGTTAAGGTATACTGAAAGGATAAGCACCTCTCCACGTTCTCTTCCATCTGTGCCCTCCAAATCCATCACTATTGTACAAGGCTCTAAGCCAGCACATCTAGCCATCCAAATTCCTTTAGTGGTTTGAGACCTGAGAACAAGCATGTATCATAGGGTTAATAACTAGACAGATTAGACAAGTTAATACAACGTGTGAGAGCTAAGAGAACATGCCTTCCCCTGAAAGCATCCATCTCCCTGAAGTTAGTTCTGAACAGATGATTTAATAGAGTGCTCTTACCTGTCCGGACCAAAGAAAATAATATTTTAGATACAGTGCGTTTTGATAAAGAATAATAAAGAAGTATATTATAATGGAAAAGAAGCATTGAGGAAAAGATGAAAATCTCATAAGAAAAGTTAATGAGGTGATAAGTCTAAATCAACTGTCAACTGGATGGAGTTGTTACTAATAACTCTCACTGAAGACATGACATCCAATTCAACCTTCATGTACTTCTTAAATCCCACAAACTCCAGCATTCAGTGTGAATTATAAAATTAAAGAAATTTACAATCATAATTTGTAGATCCTTAGAAGCAAAGACTGGATAAAGCAAGCATGATAAGCACTAAGCTAATGAACAGAAGAAGGAATGGTATTTCAGAGGCATGAAAGCATACCACTACTTTGTGGACCCATTATAGAAACTACAGCATATGAAAGTCCAAATTCACCCAATTTCACCTCCTTCATAAATTGTTCAATTCCAGCAACATTGAATGTACCATCTCCATCAATAAGCTGAATTGAACAAAAATTCTCGCTTGCCCCTGGAAAAGAAGATATTCAGCATAAGTTGACAGGAAAAGTAGAAACAAAGGAGATGATGCAACTATATCGCTGCCAGCATAAGTTGACAGGAAAAGTAGAAACAAAAGAGATGATGCAATTATATTGCTGCTAGCACCGCTTTTTATTTTTTCGAAAAAAGGAAGTATTCTTGTGATGGATTTCAATATCAAAACCACGATTGAACGATATAAATTATTAACTAAACAATAAGTTACCACTTTAAAATTTGCTAAGAAGTGGCGAAATTACTTCCCCTTTACAAGAGATAAACATTTTTTTCATAACTTGTTTGTTGGTTACTGAATCCTGAAACTAGATTATTCATCAATGCGTTACCAATAATTTCACAAGTACTGAAAGACCGGGGAAAAAATCTTCAATATTATAAAGTAACAATAATTAAGCAAGCCTCTATTCACCTTCACATTGTAACTTTAGCTATTCACATTCACTTTGTAACTTTACCCTTTCTAAACTCAAGTTATGGATCAAATTGTCAAAATTGTTAACATCAAACCAAAACCCATAACCCTTATAAAGTTTACCACTTTAAACTGAAAATGATTAGATTAAAACAACAGTTTTAGAGAACAACCCATAACGCATACAAGAATAAATGCCAGTTTCAGTTATAGTTAACGTTCATCGTCTATTTAAAAAAGAAAAAAAAAGTTTGGATGGAGATCAGAATCACAAGCCACACAAAATTTATAGAAACCAATAACTGAAGAAAGCTTAAACCAGAGCATAAAGATGCATGAAGCAGACATGTAAACAGATCCATAAGGGAATTGAGAGTAGAAGAAGCCTACCCATTGAGATCGAAATGGGCTCAGCTGCAAATGACTGCTGATGAGAAATGTACCAAGGAGATCGAATTGAGGAAGAGAAAAGATCGGAGGAAAGAGAGACGATATCGCGATCTCAGAAGGGTCTTCAATATTTGGCCTTGGCTTTTAAAAAGTAAGATTTACTGTTTGTGCCTTTGATTGAAAACGCGAAATCTGCATTGTAAAAAAGGTGGCTTTTTCCGCTGTGGTGAAATTTTTAGGCGTTCAAGCATTCATCTTTTTCTTAATTTTCTGAGATTCGGCAGAACAATTTGTTAAGATTTTTCATTTTTTGTTTGCTATTTTATGCATCCCAAAATGAAAAAATACCACCTTTTCGATGCTGCGTTGCCAATGCATTGAAAATAAACACGAATGAATTTAATTCTTTTAAACTTTTTTGTATGATTATAATTGTTTGTTAATTTTAATTATGAGTTCAATCATCTATCATCTGTCAGTATTTACGGATCACTATCGCTAATATCGATAATGGATGGAAAAATATGACACCCATCATCACTAATACACTTTTTTTTAATGAATTATAAAAGATTAAGATATAAATTTATTTAGAAAGTTTCTACTCATAAAAATGCTTGAAAGGTTTTTTTGAATACAAATTTATACTAAAAATTTAAAATTATAGCAACGTTACTCTTTATTATTAAAGATATTGACAATATCACTATTCTCTTAATAAACGTAAGATTTTTTTTTTATGTTTAGAATAAATTTGTTATGATACTAAATTTTTTAGACAAATTAATACCTACAGAAATTTTTAAGTGCATGCATTCTTAAGTAAAAATTTTCTATGTAAATTTGTACATTAACCCAACTATAACTCCTAAATCCTAGTAATTAAGAACAATCGTGTTCTTTCATATCTTTTAATAAACAGGAATACAATTGCGCAAGAGACTCTACTTAACTGCTGGTCAAAAAAAAAAAAAAAAGAGACTCTACTTAACACCAACAGGGAATCTTTTTTGGGAAAATGGCAATTAGATCTCACTCAAGGGAATTAAATACAAAAGATATCTGGAAATCATAAAATTATTTTAAAGTCCCAACAATTTTTTTTGCATTAAATTTTATTTATTTACTTACCAAATTATCCTTCTTCTTTTTTTAAGTTTGCATTGGCAACTGAAAAAGCAGTGGTTGACAACTCAGAGTGCAAGAATTGACAACTATCGCGGCTGGTTTGACAACTTATGGTGTGATATGCTGAGAAAATGTGTTGTCAAACCAGCCGCGATAATTGTTAATCCTTGCACTATGAATTGTCAACCACTGCTCTTTCAGTTGTCAATACAAATTTTTAAAAAAAATAAGGATAATTTAGTAATTAAACAAATAAAATTTATTGCAAAAAGGTCTTTTGGGGACTTCAGAATAATTTCTTAATTTCAAAAGATTTTTTTTATTTAATTCCCTTAAGTGGGACCTAATTGCAATTCTCCCATCTTTTTTGGCCCCAACTACCACCAACAGGAAATCAAGCAGATTTGGCTTTAATTTCACGAATTCACAGCTGGAAAAAATAATAAGAAAGAATTCATAAGATGGGGAAAAAATGAGAATATAAAATACATCATATATAATAATTACTGCTAAGTTTGGTTTTTTTTACCTTGAATAAAACCATTGTTACAAGAAATGCTTAAATAATATTGTATTATATTCTTCATCCAATTAGTCGATAATTTTATTTAATTTTAACTATAACATCACAAATTCACAATCTATTTTGTACTCCAAATTTATAATTTTTTAAAAACTGTCAATATGAAAAAAAATTATCAATGGATATAATTTTTGTGCAAATAATTAAAGAAGTATGTTAGATAAGCTAAAACAAATTTTATAAATAATTAATTTAACTTATTTTTTACTATTATAAATTGGTTATATAATTCCTGCCTTTTTTCATCAAAATATAATTCCCGCATTTAAGAAACTAAGGAAGTGGTAAAAGGAGAATGTGAAATATGAGGAGACAATGAGAACACGCAATATGGATTAAACCTTATCAACAGACTTGGGATTTCATCTGCTTACTCATTCAAATCTTAAGAGTTAAGGCTGTGACCATTATTAGTTATCAATTATAAATTATTATTAATGCGATTCATACAGAAGAGGGAAACATTGATGATTAAAGCAGACCATAGTTGCCCAAAAAATTAAGCAAAAAATACTTTTTATCATAAAAATATTTATTATCACGTTAAATTTGAGCAGATTTAATTCAGCATTAATCTCTTATCATAATTTTGGAACATAAAATTAGACTCTTTATACTTAAATGTAAGGGTTGTTTTGGTGCATCCTACTAAATTAACAGAAAAACATCAATTAAATGAAATATTATCAACCAATTAATGTTAGCATAAGTAATGAGAACCATTATCATTTAAATAAGTGATTAGAGGTAATACTCATATTTTTTATTTATGGATGAAAAAGCATCACAGCCTCATCTACTTTTCCCCACTTTAAGCAGGGCCATCTTATTTTATTTAGTTAACAACATAACAAAACTATAATACCAATCATGACTTGATTGATAAAAAATCATGATTTTAAATTTTTTTATTTTTATAAACTCGTACAGACAAAAATAAAAAGTGAAAATCAAATCAATCTCAAATATAAAATTTAAATTCAGGCAAAGATAAACTGTTTATAATGATACTCGTTTTCTTTAATTGAGGGGCAATGTTTAAATTTGATCCGATATTACTTAGTACTACCTCCTGTCTTTAATATAAGATATTGTTTAACTTTTATTTTGATCTTAAATATAAGACCCCAATCTACTTTGTCCCTCATATTTATACATTTTTTTCCAAAGTAGTCCTTCTAAGAATGATAGTTCTAGTCAATACATTTGATTAATAAGGATATTTTAGAAAAGACAACACCTATTTAGGACAAATAACTAACTTAACTTACTTCATTAATCTCTTCAAATTAATCAACTGGTTTTTATAATTAAGACCGGAGGTAGTATCATATAAATATATTATAAGAAGTTCTCTTCAAACTCCGTAAGATATGGAAAAATATATCTCTAGTCAAGTTTTATTTTAATATGTAGTTTTACTTATTGTGTTAATTGAAACTGAAATTGATCATGGTAAAAGTTATTATTCTTCTGAAAATTTTATAATTTTGCAGAGTTCAGAATCTTTTATTACAAAAATATGGATATTATTAGTAATTTTGTAACAGTAGATGAGATGGAAAATTCCAAGAGAATAAATATGGAAAGCCAGGTGGCAGTGGACCCCACAGCACACCGTCTCTATTCAGTGGGTCCCACTGGCCGACCAGCGCTTTTTTTGATAATTTTGATTTTCCCAGATGGGAGCAAGCGAGAGTCTGTGGACGGTGCGGATGGGTGTGGGCGTCCATGCTTGCGTGGATCCACGAGCAACTTAATTGGAGGTCACGACTTGTGGTGGCCCCCACTTACCGGCTTTCGGCTGTCGTTTCCGTCCGTGGATCACACGAATGAGTTTTAAATCCAACGACAGACATTCCTTTCCAAAAAAGGGCGATTATTATTAATTATTAATTTTTAACGAAAATTTTGGAATCTCTGTTCCTTTTTTTTTTTTTTTTCCTGAGTAAATGGAAATGGGAAAGCCATACGAAGGAAAAGGGGGAGGGCACCAAAGGCCAATGAACTGCCACATTCTAAGAGAGAATTAATGAAAGATGACCAAACCAAAAATAATCATAAAAAATGTGTGTATTTATAGCAAGCCTACATTATTGTGCTTTAAAATTTTCTGAACCGACCGATATACACACGATAGATGACAACAAGTTCGGAGTGTTTGATGACTCCTAAAAGCAGTGAAAAAAAAAATGCTTCCACACGAATCAAGATAAACCCATTCACAAACACTTATTTTGTACATCTTAAAATTATCTTTAAAATAATACTATATCCAGTCCTTCATATGAAATCTTGTTTGATTTTTATTTTACTTCTAAATATAAGACTCCAATCCACTTTATCTCTCATATATATATTTTTTTTAAATAGTCCTTTTAACAATGGTAGCTCTAACTAATATACTTAATTAGTAAAAATATTTTAAGAAAGACAAAACATATTTATTACAAATAATTAATTTAATTTCTTTTTTTAATCTCCTCAAATTAGTCAATTAGCTATTATAATTAAGATTGAAGGTAGTAGTTTAGATTTTATCCAGGTATTCCAGAAATCAGTAATTAGTAATTATGAAGAAAGTCTTGGAGCTTCCGAGCAATCCCTCTTGTCTTAAAAGGGTGGCATATCCCCCTAAATTGGCGCCGATACTCGATGTAGCAAATGGTTACTTGGAAATGTTTGTCCAGGCTCTTTGATGAGTTCCCGTGTGTTTGCTAAGAGTGCTATCTAATTTTGGTTTTTTTTCCCTCAATTTTTTACTTGCCTTTGCATCTCAAGATATAAAAAAATGCACTGAGGAGAGATTAAGGGATCTTCGAATAATGATTTGGATGACAGACTAGAGGTGCTAGTTTTTTACTGCAGTTTTAAGTTTCAATCTGTGGTATGTGCTTCATTTTCTAGTTGCAGGATGTACTTGTGGAATCTTTTGTTTATGGTCTTTTTGGGCTGCCAGGTCTTTGCCTTATTTCATTGTTTGTTCAATTGTTTGTACTATGTTATACTACTTCCGGTTCTAATTATAAGAGTCAGTTTACTAATTTGAAGATATTAAGAAAGTAGGTTAAGTTAGTTATTTGTAATAAATAAATGTTGTCTTTCCTAAAATATCCTTACTAATCAAATGTATTAGTTATAACTATTATTATTAGAACCACTATCTTAGGAAAAAATGCATAAATATGATAGACAAAATGGATTGGGGTCTTATAATTAGAACCAAAATAAAAATCAAACAAAATCTTATATTAAGAATTGGAAGCAATATTATCAGTAGGTTGTGACATTTTCCCAATCTTCGGGAACCGATTGTAGCTTTGCAACCTTGATTCTATGCATATGTAACATCTGTTGTTGTATGGGAGTGCATCAAAAGAAACCTCGTATTATTTAAGATCGAGAAAGCCTTAATATATCTTAGTGTATATTGAGACGACATGTGAACTTAAGCTAGTAAATTAACTAAAAGGACTGTTATATCCATTGTCTTGCTAATTACAAAACTACAGAAGGATTTGTTTTGCAGAAAATTTAATTGATTAATGAAATGTAAGGAAAACTTATTGTCTTTCGGTGAGTTTCAAAAAGCCATTTAATTGGTTTATCAGTTTTAAACGTTTTCATTGATGTTGATGACCAATTTGTATAAATTTCAAATATGAACCAAATCAAAAGGATCTTGTTCTTTATCTAAATTTATCTTTTGCCTCTTTAATTATGTGGCTAAAATATATTGAAAATGTACTTTGTCTATTCGAGTTTGCCACAAAGTTCTTTGTTATATGTTTGAGCAGTGGAGTTGAATATATTCAAAATATACATCAAGTCTAAAGTAATTCCAATCTTATTTGAGTTAGACTGAACTTTTCATATTGTATCTTTATTGGTTAACTCCAAATTCTGAAGATATATTCTGAGTCATTTTTTACTCTCTTTCCATCTGAGTTCTTAATTGAAAAATTTTTCCATCAGATTTGAAACAAAAAAGTTCTTGAAAGTGTTTTTAAGAAGAGTGTTTTATCAAAATTATTTTAGAATATGTTTTATAGTACTCTTTGCAGGATATCTAAGATCCAATAGGAAGGTTGAGAGCAAAATACAATGTTAGACAACATTAAATTGAGTCGATTATTACAGACTTAAGCTTCAAAGAAAAGCTTGTCTAATGCACATTTTAAGAAATGGACTACAAATAGAAGATACTACCTCCGGTCTTAATTATAAGAGCTAATTGACTAATTTGAAGAAATTAAAGAAATAAGTTGAGTTAATTATTTGTCCTAAATAGGTGTTGTCTTTTCTAAAATATTCTTGCTAATAAAGTGTATTGACTAGAACTCTTATTATTAAAAAGGCTACTTTGAAAAAACTGTACAAATATGAGAGACAAAATGGATTGAGGTCTTATATTTAGGACCAAAATAAATGTCAAACAGGATTTTATATTAAAGACCAGAGATAATATATTGAATGAAAAGGTAGAGAATAACTAGAACAACGAAAGATCACAAGATACAAAAAGGACATTCTTTGCAAACATTCTTTGAGAGATTTATCGAATTTTAGTATTCAACATTTAGTCTATTGGAAGAGAAAAACACTCCATTGTTATAAATTTTCATAGAAACTGAACGTAGGATAGGTTGGACCAAACCAATATAAATCTTTGTGTGTATTTTTCTCCTATTCTTCTTTCAAGCAATAGGTGACGTCTTTTTTGCTTCACTTTACCTATATTAATCGGGTTTGATTATTTTATTATCTACAGAGTTTTTACAACACCCAATTCACTCTTTTTTTATTGTTCAGCCATACGAACAGAAAGGAGTCTTGGAACTAACAGGATGATTGTTAGAGCATTTACATGTCGATTTTATTTCATTAATAACTAGTTTTAATAGCTTTATACTACCTCCGATCATAAATATAAGAACTAGTTGACTAATTTGAATAGATTAAGAAAACCAATTAAGTTAGTTATTTGTAATAAATAAGTGTTGTTTTTCCTAAAATATTTTTGCTACCCAAGTTTGTTTGTTAGTTAGAATTATCATTATTAGAATGACTATCTTAGAAAATAAATAAATAAATACGAAAGACAATTGGATTGGGATCATATATTTAGGATTAAAACAAAAGTCAAATGGAATCTTATATTAAGGACCAGAGGTAGTATCATTTTAACTTTATTAAACCATCTTTAATAAACGTTTGTAATTGCCACTTTAATTGTCATTAAACTGTCTTTAATCGCCATTACGATTGCCCAACAATCATACGTCTTATGCCTATACATGGCAACGCACAATGTAAGATCTGAAGCATTAAGGTCAGGTAAAATTGATCCCTGAGCTCACCTCTTCTATCTTCTCCTAAATTACAATGGTTTTGTTTTTTTTTTTTGCTGTTCTGTTACTTGCTTCCCTCAAAAAGGACTCGTTTAATTTTGGGAAGTGCCACTGAGAGGTTTCTGAATATCTCTTAAAAAAACAGTATCCAATTGTATGTTTTAATTTTTTTTTTTTTGTAGTCATTGCTAACATGTCACAACGAAAACTTCAAAATTTTGGATTTTCAGAAAAAAAAGGTAAACTGATACTTTTGAGAGAGTCGGTGGAATCAAACCTGTGATCTTCCGCAAGTATCATTAAAGGGGTGTTTAGATAGAAACCAAACCATGATTTCAGAAGTGCTTTTACGGTTTACGAAGTAAATATGTGGACGAATTTGCCTCATTTTACAGAAAAGTGTTTCTGAAAGCATAGTTTGGAGATTACCAAACACCCCTCAAGTTACAATGTCATTGCCAAAAGCCCAATTCTGACGAAAGAATACTTGTGTTAAAACATAAAGCCGGACATGCTCTTGTCCCATTTCTTTTTATTTGTGGGTGGAATTCTCAAATGACCTTTCATATCTTCCTTGCTTTCCAGCAAACCAAACCAGCGAAGCATAGCTTTTTCCTCATCTTTCTTTTTGCTTACCATAGTACCAGATAGTGGGTGGCAACCAATATTAATATCCGTTTCTTTTTAGAAAAATCGTAATTAAAGATCCTAAAATTTGAAAAATACAGATAGAAACCCCATGACAACATCACTATGACTTTTGATAATAATAATATGTCATGGTCAAAACCTATAGTGAAGTTGTCACCGGTTCTTGTATTTTTCAAATTCTAGAGTCTTTTTTTGTGATTTTATCTTTTTTTTTACTGCACATATATAGACATATTTGAATTTCTTACTCAAAACATTGATTCCATTAACTATAAATGTATCGAATACCTCTGCTAGCGTGTCACCTATCCCCAAATTAAGGCCAAAATCCCTTTGGCCAGTGACCATTTTTTTCCCCAAGTAGTATATGCATTTTTTATCTTTTTTTTTTTTGTTAAATAGAAGTCAGGTGGCATACACAAATATTTTAATACACGAACACACCTATTTTAATATCTTAAGTAACCCAACAAAAATAAAGGGTTTGTTTGATTCTACTCTCTACTCTTATTTTGTTGGTATAATTATTCTCTATTTTTATATTCTTAGTATAATACTCCCTCTTTTTCTTTTTCTTTTTTTAATAAGAAACAATCTCTCTCATAGTAGTGTTTGCAACATAAGAATCAATTTTTTCCCCTAAAATTATAAACCCGTCTTTCCACTTTTACCCCATTAAATATATGCCACTTATTATTGTTTCGTCACAAATTTTTACTTATTATCTCTCATGTACTCTCTTTATAAATAAGGTTATAATTGAAAAATATATACATATCTTACACATTTATTAATTTTAACTAAATTTAAACTAATGTTTTGAAACCCATGATTTTGATAGTTGTTTCCTATAAGAAGGGGGTAGGAAGTATATTTCAAAATAAGATTTGAAAACCAAATTTAAAAAAATATGTTTAAATCAAAAATCATTATTTTAGGAATGAAATAAAAGGAAAGGTAAGATAAAAGTTTGATTTATTGATATAATTGTCATTAATGAAAATACAATATTTCCTACCCTTTCTTTTCTTTTTTATTGTTTACAAAAATTTTAGGTGAGTTGGAGAGGTACTTACCAACTAAGCTAACTCTCACTGGTGTCTTTTCTTTTATTTTATAGTTCAAAATAAATTTATAAACATATTCTTTATTTTTATGTTGTTTAAAACAGACAACGAAAGAGGCCTTTTTTTCTGGGTGCAAAAATGGTTCTGGCAAAATCGATGTGTCACAAAAATGGTCAAGAGGCCACGCGATAGGGACGAGCCCACCTTCCCAATTCCCCCGCCGTACAGGCACTACCAGTAGGCGGGAAACATAAACAGCAAAAAAGCTCTGAACTTCTCAAAATCCAGTCGGCACACTCACCTGCTCGCAAGTCCCCGGCGGGAAATGAAGGAATCCAGCAGGGACTCTGCTCCTCTGTCGGTGGATGAAAGATACACTCAATGGAAGTCTCTGGTCCCTGTCCTCTATGACTGGCTCGCCAACCACAACCTCGTCTGGCCCTCGCTCTCATGCCGGTGCTTACCCTCTTGCCCGCTTCTTCGCATTCGTCTCATTTGTTTGATTTCATTTCATCTTTTAATAATGTCGGTATTCTTGTATGTTGGAAAATAATGACCTTTTTGGGTGGGAAATATTTGACCTGGGGGAAGATAAATGAAACACGATTTTTGGGATGTTCAAGTTGTTTTTTGAACGAGTCGTGGGTGTAGGAAATGCGCGGGTAACTTTAATTCATTTTTTCATTGCTTTTAATGATTGAAGGCTGTGAATATTCGGACAAGAAAAATCCGATGTGTTGATTACGGCTTTTCTGAAATGTACCTAGTTTTATATTAGTTCCTTATTTCAACTATTGGTTCTTCACTCTGCAAAAAAGTATTAAGGTAAGTTTTAAAGTCCCAGCTTTTTCTTTGTTTACTTTTGTTGACCCTCAGACCATTCTTAGTTTGACATTAATTGCCAGTGGGAAATGGTGCTCTGACTAGATATTGCATGAAAATTTATTTGTGATGTCAATGTAATCTGTGTGGGAGAACGTGATTGTGAACTACTAAGTTTTGAAGATGATATAATGATAGATTGAAGTGTTGACTTGTATAATTCCGGGATATTCTACTGATTTTAATTCCATTCAACACCTGATAGATGACCCTCCTCTTCCCATGGTGATTTATTTTCCTATGACATTCTTATGCAGATGGGGTCCTCAACTAGAGCAAGCTACATACAAGAACCGTCAACGTCTCTATCTTTCTGAACAGGTGACACAATACTCTCTTGCAGCATTTTATTTAAGTCTTAGCCTGGCTGGAAAGAACAGTAGTTTCATTGGAAATATTGGGAGATCCTTCCACCTTTTTTTTGGCAAACCATATATATTGTTGAAAGTTTGATGTGAAAATTAATTGACCATCACCCCTGTTTGTGTTGCCAAGATTTAAAACATACTATCCTATAAATTCAGTATGATTTATTTCATAGTATGGTTTAAAGCTGTCAATTTTCAAAACCAGCTAATTTTTCATGTGTACATTCTTTTTGTTCCTTTACTTCGTTATCTTTATTCTGATATTATGTTATGTTTATTTGTTTGATTTGATTTCCATACATTTCTTCTTACTTTCAGACTGATGGAAGTGTACCAAATACTCTTGTTATAGCAAATTGTGAGGTTGTAAAACCTAGGGTTGCAGCAGCTGAGCATATATCAGAGGTAATGTCAGTTCATTTTCCCCTCTCCATGAATTTTATTTACTGTTTAATTTTGTGATTGTTTGGGACCATTCCGTTGCTAAAAGCTTAAGCTGTTAAAAGAAGGCCTGGGAATGGTGTTATTAACATCTCTAACAATGGTCATGAAGTTAGCATCTAAGCCGTTGCAGGTTATTTCTTTTTTTGGTGATCTTTCAGTTTAATGAAGAATCACGTTCTCCTTTTGTGAAAAAGTACAAAACTATCATACACCCTGGCGAGGTATGCTTTATTTTTATAAGTCCTTCCTATTCGATATTGGACTGCTTCCTATTCTTTATTACTGTTTCAATGTCACATAAGTCATGTGAGTTTTTTTTTTTTTTTAATGCCTTTTGTGCATTTGCAAGTACTTGAGTTATCTGATAAGTATATTTAACTTTCAAATGGCTGATCATAAGAACTTTGAATATGAGGAAATCATGTGTATACACACATGGAGTTCAGCAAATAGAGAAATTTTATTGCAAATGTCATTACAAAGGCTTAGCTGCTGCTGCTGTAGTGAGGAGTAACTACTTAAACATTGTATTGCTTTTTGCGTATTATATTCTTTTAGGTGAACAGAATCAGGGAACTCCCTCAAGACAGCAAGATAGTGGCCACCCACACGGATAGTCCTGAGGTAAGCATATACCTATGCGCTTCCGTTTTCCCTGTCAAATTAGTATAATCCGGAATTGGGTATATCGGCTTTTTTTTTTAAAAAAAAAATCTTATACTTTATCCTTTACTTTGTTTGTGAGCTATTATAAATTTGATGAAGGAATTAAGCTCTTCCATCGGTGAAACAGGTACTGATATGGAATGTTGAAACTCAAGCTAATCGCCATGCTGTCCTGGGAGTTGCTCCTTCCCGCCCAGATCTGGTTAGTTTCTGTTTGAAATGTAAAAATTTAATGATCAAGAAACAAGTAACTTTATATTAATTATTGCTTTCATTACTATAAAAATGTAAAAAGTTTGGAACTAAATAATGGTTCTTGTTTCTTGAACAGTATATATTGCAATTTATCAAATACATGGAATGTTTAATTCATGAAGTTGATTTTTGGGTATTTCAGTTCATGTATTGGGAAACTGAAATCCTGGTTGCACCTTTTTGCAGACGCTGACTGGGCATAAGGATAATGCTGAATTTGCTCTGGCTATGTGTCCAACTGAACCCTTCGTTCTTTCTGGAGGTAGGAGTCTTTTTAATTCATTTCTCATGGTTATGATCTTTAGACTCTACTTTTTAATATATGAATATCTTATAAAGACCCTAATTTTTTGGGTTCTGTGGTAGAAAATGAGCTCAGAGGTTGCAGATTATCATAGTACCCTTCACTGCCATTGCCATTGACCTTGCAACCATAGTGTATGTATTTATGCAGCATTGGTTTCCTATATCAAGGGTTAGAAGATAGACAGCAACAATGGTGGCGTAGCTTAGTGTGCCCAGATTTTGCCTTGACGCACATGATGTGTGCGATTGAATTCCTATTGAATCACCCTTGTGAATCAAACCTTTCCAAATTTTTGAAGCACCCTTGCAAACCAGATGCACACAGTGTGTGGCTGAATTCCTATTGAATTATCCTGGCGAATCAAACCTTGCCAAATTTTGAAGCCCCTTTCTAAACCAACCCTTCCAGGGTTTTTTTTTTTTTGGGGGGGGGGGGGGAGAGGTGGGGTAGGAAAGAGAAGACGGGAAAAGACATATGGTTCAAATGCAGCTGCAGTGGGCCATTACTTTGTGTGCCACATGCATATGGTTTTAAATTGAACACTCACAATATTATTGAGTGCTGCATGTTTGTCTGTTTAGGTCAATAAAAATGTATAACTTAATTACCATATGGTATCTGATTAGTTCTGAAATTAATCTTACCATTTTGGCATGTGTATTGCATGGGATTCGGAAGATAGCTCTGATTCAATTTTGTATCTGGAAGGAATGGGAGTTGACTGTTTCCTGTGCTTTCATGAATGGATGAAATTGGGAAACGTGTCCATGTTGTGATGCTCATAGAAGAAATTGAGGCACTGACTGTCACTGTCACTGTCACAAAAGAGTGGCGGTGTAGCACATCCTCAAGATCTATTATCTCCCCGCACCATTTCATGTTTTATATATTTAGATTCTTGTACATTTCTCAAATACTCATGAGCACTTGAATTTCTCTGATTTTGTGGTAAAACTTGATGCCAAATATTTGCTTTGAAAACATCTTCAACTCTAACTTATATAGTGCTATACTGGCATGCCAAGCATTGTTATTAATAGTTGAAATGATGGTTAGAGGCCTTTTTACAAAAAGAACTTCATTTTAACCCAAAAACAAAAGGGGTTGAAGGCATTATAAAGCTCCTTTAGATACAAAATACTATGCCTATATGGCTGATGAATATAACTTTCTTCTCTTTCTGGACAATGTATCTTGTATACTGTCATTGCATTTTGTTTACCTTGTGAGAACTTTGGGTGACAGGGAAGGACAAGTGTGTGATCTTATGGAGCATTCATGACCATGTTGCAAGTTTAGCTGCTGAAGCAGCGTCTAATGTTAAACAAGGCACTAAGGCTGGAGGGAATGGTGAGAAAACAATAGAAGGCCCTTCTATTGGGCCACGGGGCATATACAAGGGACATAAGGAAACTGTAGAGGATGTACAATTTTGCCCGTCAAGGTAATTCCTCTTTCTTTACCGAGCTGTATGTGCCAATTATGTGTAGCTAAAAAATTATTATCCACAGCAATCATTTGCACTTAATCACACTTTCTGCAAGTAATTTTGGTTGCTAAATGGAGTTTTAATATAATTGACGTTAGAATTTATTGTGTTATTCAAAATCCCCATTTAATTAAAGTAGTAATTTATTTCCAAATAGATCAGAAAATGGACTGTAATGTCAAAATTCCAAATTCCCACTCAGTTGCCATTCAGTGTTTAAAGGGGACCAGACTTACTGAGTTCGTCATCGTTTAATTTTGTTATTCATTGTTGATTAATTCATCGTGTTTCCATTTTGCTGTTTTCTGATTTCTTCCACAATTTTCTGTATGAATTGAAGTGTGCACGAGTTCTGTAGTGTTGGTGATGATTCTTGCCTCATACTCTGGGATGCACGATTGGGATCCACTCCAGCATTTAAAGTATATTTTCATCTATTCTTCTAAATATTATTTTTTTATTAACAGTATTATTATTAATGAGTAGAAGTTTAGAAGCATAACATGCCAACAAGCTAATATTAGTCAAGGTGGTGTGGAAAGAACTGATTTAATCTCTATATCTGTTAGCTGTTTTACTGCATTTATTTTGTTCATTTTTTGATGGGCTGCACTTAGAACTTGGCGGCCTCAGAAATTTTTGTGGTAATTGCTGATTCAACTGAAATTGCAGTTTCGTTTTCATATTCAAAGTACCGAGACTTTATTTTTTTATTTTTTTCCTTTTTTTAAATATATGTTCCTTGAGCTACAGATGCAAGAAATTTATCTATCTTAATATTCCCTGTAAGAAAAAGTGCACAATGTCATCAGATGGCCTACCTGTCATGCTGCTTTTTGTAGTTTTAAATTCACAGCCAACTCAAGTTTTGTTGTCTTGCTTATTTGGTAATTTGTCCTTTCAACTCTTTTTAAGAAAAATAATAATTTAAATATGAATATGTTATTACTTTTTCATTTTTTTCTCATGTCCTTTTTCCTATTTTATGGTTATGTTTTGAGCAGGTTGAGAAGGCGCATAATGGAGATCTTCATTGTGTTGACTGGAGTCCTCATGATATCAATTTTATTCTGACTGGGTATTCCTGCCTCCTATTAAATGATTTTATCTTACAGTTCCATAGTCAAAATTATGATCTTATGTGTTATTCTTGGACTATCTCTTTTAGTTCTTCATGCACATAATTTGTAGTTGGATTGCTTATCCTGTTCGAATGCCAAAGCACTTCATAGGACTATGGATCCTCTGTCTGATTTTTGGTTCTTTTCACTTCAGTTCGGCTGATAATACAGTTCATATGTTTGATCGTCGGAAATTTACTAACGGTGCAGCTGGGTCTCCAGTTTATAAATTTGAGGGTCATGATGCAGCTGTTCTCTGTGTGCAGGTGACTACTGGGACAGTGCCTTATTGATTTCAATTAAGTTGCTGCTTTCAAATGCATGTCGTTTTTTTCCCCTTTCTTCTTCCCTTTTGGTCTATTGAAATGCATGACAGTTTTGGGAATATGGTTGTAATTGTTACTCTATAATTATTCATCTGTTTCAGTGGTGTCCTGACAAGTCATCTGTATTTGGAAGTGCTGCTGAAGATGGCATCGTAAACATATGGGATCATGAGAAGGTCTGAATACTTCAAATTAACTCATAGGGTTGCTTCATTTTGTCCTTCACTACCTTGTTGTTCATCATGAAATGCACATTGCATTTTGAATTAATTTAATCTAGTTCGGGGGCTTGGATGTTACGTTGCTGTTCAGGCCAATAAATTAAGAATATCCTTCAAGTGCTAATGTCACTGATATTTTTTGCATTCACAAGCATTTTATGTAATGAGTCTTTAGGATGGAATGGACATTACAACCTTGAATATGTGGTTGGTATAAACTAAACCCTTAAATGCTGAATGGAAGAGCCTCCACGTGTGAAAGAGTGTATCTTACCTACACACAAAGGCATTTTAATCTTCCTACATCAAATTCATTATTAATGTTTTTAGTCGTCTTCTTCTTCTTCTTTTTTTGGGTAGTGTAACACTGATCTTTATTTGCCTAGGTTGGTAAAAAGTCAGATTCTGCTGGTCCAAAAGTACCCGACGCCCCTCCTGGTTTATTCTTTCGACATGCTGGGCATAGGTATGAACTTTATATGTGTTGATACATTCTAAATGTCATTTGGGCCATCTAAGAAAGACAACAATTGGAAATTTCGTTTTTATTCCTTAGCCAGTTGAGGTGGAACTTGATAGAGCCCAAAGCAGAATAACAGTAAACTGACACTGATTTATATTAATCGAATACTCTTCCCCTTAAACGAAACGAAAGAGTTACAATGTGAGAAAACTCACACAAAGCATACACAGATGATTCAAAAGGAAGCACACTGAAACAGAAACTGAAAATGGGGAAAGATTATCTGCCTCCACCCCAATCTGGCATTCTAGAGGCCAATACTCCCCTCACAAAATGACTTTGGTTGGACCTAGCTGAAATCAAATTAAAAATTAACACACGCATGCACATATTTGCATGCGTGTTAATGCGTATCAAGTCACTAGTACTATTTTGATATAGGGCTGGCATTCTGGGGATCTGGCAATAATCTTTTGGCTTATAATATTCTTTTTTTGGTTAATAAGTAAAACGCAAAGCCGTTAACATTTGCTTATTCATTCAGGGACAAGGTTGTTGACTTCAACTGGAATGCTTCTGACCCGTGGACCATTGTTAGTGTCTCTGATGATTGTGGAAGTACTGGAGGTGGTGGTACCCTTCAGGTAAGGGAATTTTTTGCATTACATGCTTCTGCTAACTCTCCATGAATTGCTGAATTTCTTGCTTCCTCTATCCATTTACATTGAAAATCGACAAAATATTTGGAGATATTTTAAATGAAGTCCATATTGTGATGCAGATATGGAGGATGATTGATCTGATTTATCGACCAGAAGATGAGGTTTTGGCTGAGCTGGATAAGTACAGATCCCATATTATGGGATGCAACAACACATGACATGTCTGGAAATTCTCTAACTTTGATGTAGTTTCAGGAATTCACTGAAGGTTGTAACATAGTGTTTTTTTTTTTGGGGGGGGGGGGGGGGAGAGGACGGTAGACCTCGACTTTCTCGTTCATTCATCGAAGTGTTTTCTAGCTTCCGTAATCTTGTCAAATGGTGAACATTTCATTTGGTTGATAGTTTTGAATCTTTGGTCTAAAAGCCTTCTCTTGTTGTGCCGAAGAAAAAGCGTTCGTTGTTCATAATGCAGTTAATGCTGCTATTTTGTTAATCACTGTGTATGCAAACATATTGTGATATTAATCTGCCTTGTACAAGGCAGATTAAGAACTTATATGGCAGTAGTTAATGTTGTGCACAAGTGTAGACATGAGAGTTCATTATTGTACCAATGTCTCTTGTGTTGACTTTATGTCTTTTTTGGTCGTGCACTTCATTTATAAACCAAATACAAAACACAAGTCGTCAATGATCTTATTGGAATATTGATATAAAAAAAAATGCAATTTAATCATTGTTTAGAAAAATCTGACTGTAACAAATTCTGCATCCTTGAAAATTAATCTCAAGACAGTATTTTTAACTAGTTTTAACTATTTTTTATTTGTGTGAATTATTGCATTCAAGTATAAAGGATGCAAGTGTTTAAGTAAATATATGAGAAATATTATGCTGTTCTAAACGACACTGTCTGTTCTAATTGAAATGTAGTCTTTTATTGGCTTTCCTCATATATCAAAAAATTTAAAAAAACAACAAAAAACACATAAACAAACAAAGAAACCATCCTATGGCTACTTTCTTTTTTGATACTTGGCAGCTTATTTTTATTTTTCTTCACTTGCTTTCTATCAAACCGTCCACGCCCAATACGGGGAGGGGAAAGAGGAACCCTTCTTTGCACAGATTTTCATTTCCCGTCTTTCTTTTTCAACGTATGTTATGAAAACCAAAGGAAAAGATGAACAAGATATGAAAGCACGATAGAAATGTAATATAAGGAAGAAAGAAGTATGGGGAGAGAATGAGGTGAATTCTCTCTCTCTCCCTCTCCCCCCTTTAATCCTCGGAATTCTTGTTTATTTATAATTGTATAAAAGATGTAATTCATAGTCTTTGATTATAAAAGCAAGAGCTACAATGTAAAGAAAAGAATTAACTTATATAATTGCATAATACAACTTCCAGTCATAATTATAAAATCTTATTTGTAGATTATGAACAAGGTTTTATAATAAGAACCGGAAGTAGTATATAAATCTTAAAGGTTTTACGTATTAATTATAGTTACAGCTTAATGAAACTAAACATCTCACTTAAGTCTTTCTTTAAATGTGATGTTATTGGTTCGAATCTTTTAGAGAGATTATAATGAGTGAGTGATATATTCATTACAAAAAGTTCTTTAAAAAAACGATTTAGGAGATTATGAGATTTTATAAATAAACTTTTAAAAATAATTTGTTGACTTCATGATATTTTTTTCCTCCATAACTTTCAAGACCATCGTCACAAATTTTTTTAGTGTTATAGACATCCCTACCATAATGATATTTATAAATTATAATAAGGAAGAATTATAATGAGATATTAAAAAAGAAAATAATTATGAATAAATCTGAGTAATTATTTGTACTTAAACTTGTTATTACAAACAGCTGTTTTTATTAAATTTTTTCGGTAACTATGTTGTTTTTAGGACAACAAAACAATTCTCCTTATAAGTATAACTGTACATTTTTTTTCTTGTAATTTTTTTAGCATCCATACATATTTGATTTTTTTCAGAAAATTATAATCAAGTCTAAAAAAAAATAATTATAAAATAAGTCTAAAAAATTATTATTTTATATTTTAAATTTTATGATTATAAGCTGTTTAAGTTGTTATTAAAAAAATTTCATAATTACTTTTTGGACCTTGCTCTAATTCTCCCATTTCTTTTTTTTTTTTTTTTTGAGCTTTTGATTGGCTCCCAAGGCACCTTTCTCTGTTAGCAGATTTTATACATATACGCGCGCGCGCGCGCGCGCGTATATAGCCGTCATTCGTCTGCTTCAGCTGGATTTTATTTTCCGTTTTATTTGTCCCTGTCTGAAGCTCCAACAAATCGCTGGTACCTTTTTCTCCTCTATTGTTTTGATCTTCCTTTCTCTGCATGAAACAACCCCTCTCGATACCAAGTTCGTCTGTTGCCTTTCCCTACTTAACCGACCCGTCCTTCATCATCATCTCCTTATTTTAAATTTTTCTGTAATTGAATCTAATTCTGTTTTTGATGGGGTAACTGAGGACAAGCGGTTCTCCAAGTCCGGCGTGGTTATCAAATGTTAATCAACTTTAGTCTGGAACAGTAACCCAACCGTACTCTTCATCTAGACGAGTACTTGGACTGCGTATCTTTCTAGTTTGTTGTGCGAAGCGGCGGACTATTTGTGTGAAATTGATGATGAAAAAGCCTGACCTTCATGTTCTTTCATACTCATAATACCTGGACTAGATATCTTTCTCGTCTTCCCTGATCTTTTTGTTTCACTCCATTGATTATACTACCTCCGGTACTAATTATAAGATCCTGTTTGACTTTTATTTTGGTCCTAAATATAAGACTCCAATCCACTTTGTCTCTCATATTTATTCACTTTTTCCAAGATAGTCCTTCTAACAATGATAGTTATAGCCAATACACTTGATTAGTAAGGATATTTTAGGAAAGATAACACCTATTTATGACAAATAACTAACTTAACTAAATTCCTTAATCTCTCCAAATTAGTCAACCGGGTCTTATAATTAGGACCGGAAGTAGTATTTGCTGTTTTGGTGTGAATATAATCACATGAAGGTCTTTTATCGTGTTTCATGGTTATGTGAATTTTTAACTATTTGAAATTTACATTATCCAATCTGGTCAGAAGCAATTAAGTTTCATTGCTATATGCATTTATAGAAGTTGATGGGTCATCGTTTGTGGTCATGATCATACTAGTATAGTCCAGTTTCTTGTATGGTGGAATTGTTGGGTTTTTTGATAGAAATCAATACCGAAAATGGTATTGTTATCTCATTTTGCTTTATGTAAGTATAAATTACTAAATTAGCATCACAAAAGGTATGGTTAGCTATTAGTTTTGGTGCAGTAGCTGGAAGAAGAATTGAAAGAGGGAGGGAGGGAGGGATAGATAGAGGTTATGGTAGCAGCAGCAAATGAAGAGGACGTGGGTGGTATGGAGAATGAAGAAGAATAATGAGAGTGTGTGTGCGCGCGTGTGAGAGAGAGAGAGAGAGATTTATTTTAACAATCACCTGATTTGATAGCTTTTTTTAGAGGGGTGTTATAGTCTTTTTATATTTTATTACGAGTATACTTTTACATGACATTACATTTTATATTTCCATTTTATATTTCTTCTTAGGTTGCTCTCTGAGCCCCAAGAAATGGTGGGCGAATTTTCTCTTTAATTATTTCCATGTTCCTTGTTATCTGTATGAAAGAAACAATGCGTCTCAAAATCAAATTCTTCTATTATCTTTCCCTTCCTAATCAGCCCATCCTTGGAAAATTTTTCTACTTGTCTTTGATTGAATGTAATTCTGTCTTGAGATATGTCTAGTTCAAAGATTTAGAGTGTGGATCTTTGAATGAAATCAATTCATGTTTTGGTTTTTTGTAGATTCTTCGTTTTTGCATTATGGAAATTACTGCAAATTTTTTTGCAGGGTATTTGAAGGTGATTGAAGATGTTAGAGCAGTTACTCATGTTTACAAGAGGAGGATTGATCCTCTGGACTTGTAAAGAGCTTGGAAATGCTCTTAAAGGATCTCCAATTGATATTGATCCGATCTTGTCTTTTGGAGGAACGATCTGGTGCTGCATCGTATAATTATGACGCCCCAGGTGGAGCTTACACCCTCAAACGGACCTTCCATAATGAGCTTGCCCTTGTGTCTGTGGCTGTGTATCAACGGATCCTTCATCTGTTGTATGTGGAAGATCTGCTTGCTATGGTGAAACGTGAGTTTTCAGAGATTTATGATCCGAAAAGGACAGTGTATCATGATCTTGATGAAACTTTTAGACAGTTAAAGGTGGAGGCTGAGGCTCAGGCTGAGGATTTGAAGAAATTAAATCCTAGTGGCAGGGCTTTATTTAACAGCAAGAAGCAAGGTCAGGGACAAAAAGAATGGGCCTGAAGGAAGAAATAAGAAAAAAGGTGATGGTGGGGATGGTGATAATATCGAAGGACATGAGATGGAGAATGGGAAATCCAATGACCATATTGTTGCTAGTAAAGAATCTAACTTAGATGGTAGCACTAACGAAAAAGAGAATGCAAGTTTCAATCTTGGAGCTTTTGATGTAAATAGGCTTCAGAAGCTTAAAACAAAAGGAGGAAAGAAGACAGATAATGTTACCAAAGCCTCAAAGGTAGAGCCAAAAGAAAAAATGGCAAATAAAAATAGGGTGTAGGATGAATCACCTGAAACAAAACTGGACTTCACAGATCATGTGGATGAGAGTGGGGAAAGTAACATAGATGTTGTGGCTGCTGATCATGGTGAAAGTATGATTCTTACGTTAGGTTTCTTCCTGTTGTGCTTTGTTTTTCTTTTATCTTTTTTTAGTTAACATGTCACCGACGAAGATCATTCATTAGTTGGCCAACGCTTGCATAGGATAAAAAGATATGATGGAATTCTAAAAGTTTTTCAATCAAAGGGACACTTTAAAGAAATATTTTCTGAACATAAAAAGCATGATTATGGAGGCCGAAAGCAAATTTTCTTCACCGCTTTCTTGATTGTCATTGGTGCAGGTTATTCGGGGAGATGTCAAGCTCTTCTTTGAGTTTCTTCGATGAGAAGTTTGTGCTTTGCAGCTTTTCATGGAAACAAGATAGTTCAGCTCTTCATTTCATCAAACAAGATAGCCTACTACAAGAAGAAAATTAAAGGCGGGACAATAATGAATTATTTTTATGGGCATATCTGTCTTTTGGATTTTCTCCCCAGGACTGAAAATCGGCTCCCACCAAAAAGGGTGGGAAGAGCGCTTCCCATATACTCTTTTGGTCCGATTTATAAGGCTGAAAGAGAAAGATTTTTATCCTACTTATAAATCATTTCATTAAATTTTCAGTATGAATATATTATTTTGTCCTTTATTTATTATAATATAGGTAGTTATCTCTTTTAAAAGATATATATTAAATATGGGTAAAGTTAAAAATTTGTTATATTTTAATGAAGAGTTAATGCATTTTAAATTTTTTTTTTGTCCGTGTGAAATATACTGAAAGTACTTTATAAATAAAATCAGAGAAATGTAAGAAAAAATCCAGCACCGCTGGCAATTGGTTTCCCAGAAAATGTGCTGCCTAACGTGGAAAATAAGATTTTTCTTTTCCTTCTCCAAATTTTCAGTCTACCAAACGGGCTCTTATTATTAACTCATTGTAAAACTAGCCCACAGTCCAAAACCCCTTAGCCGAACACATGGCAAGTTGGCACCCTTGTTTATAACTACTGGGAAATTACACTTTTGGGAGCTATAAGGATTTTCCATGGTGGATTGGTTTATAATGACATGAACCAATTGAGCAAATAAATAAGTCCAAATTTAAATACGTAATTTTCTTAATGTAATGGTATGACCCACAATAGACACGCTTATAAGTCTTGTTTGATATTATCTCCGGTCCTAATTATAAGAATCAGTTGACTAATTTGAGAAGATTAAAGAAGTAAGTTGAGTTAGTTATTTGTCCTAAATAGGTGTTGTTTTTCCTAAAATATTCTTGCTAATCAAGTGTATTAACTAGAACTCTTATTATTAGAAAGGCTACTTTAAATATATATATATAAATATGATAAACAAAGTGAATTAAAATCTTATATTTAGGACCAACATAAAAGTCAAACTGAATCTTATATTAAGAATCGAAAGTAGTATAAAGTATTAAAAATGAAAAGTAATAATTAAGATTGAGAAAACTTATTGAATATAAAAATTTACTTGTTATTTAAGATTAGGCAAACCCACTAAAATATCATATTCCCCAACCCCATCTATATAGATTTACTCAATCCCAATTAACAAACAATTCCCCATACCAAACATTCTTTTAATAAGTTTTTCAACCCAATATCAAGCATTCTAGATGCTCCATAATGTACTTAGGAAGCTCTCATCTTGCAGTGGCATTAAAAAAAAAAAAAAAAAAGGCTCTTCCCCTGCTTTGCAACCAGAGAAGAACATCGTGTTGAGGAAGGTATTTTCTTTCCCTTGCATATTAATCAAGATATATAATATCCAGTATATTCTTGCTATTTTACAATAATTCTTTCACTTGCTACTTTTGAGAATAGATAATTTTAGTTCATAATTTTTTCCATTTGATTTCATTCCATTCCATTCCATTCTATATTCTACCTTCTAAGCACCGATAGGAAATTCAGAGATTCTTGTTTCATCTAACTATTCCACAAAAACATAACCAAAATGAACGTTTCTGTGACAGTACAAGATTAAAAACGTGGGATTTGAATGTACACATGTTAAAGTAACAACGGTTACAGTCAGCCAACCTAGCACTGTCATTCATGAGCTCGAGCATTGCCTGGACTTTGCAGCTTTTTGCCTACACAGGTATGGAAAGAGGAATTATAGGTGAGCAACTGATTTTAAGGATAGAAACAGAATGGAGACACCAAACTTTCCAAAGTATAAAAAGGTTGGTATAAAAAAGGTTGATATAGGAAATCAACTAACCAAAATGAATCCTTTTTTTCTCGCGCTAATAATTCTTCAAATGAAATGTCAGCAAACTCATTTTCTTCGTTCTCCCCAGGTTCACAGGATTTTTCCTTCTCCATGCAAGTTCCAATTTCAAGCATCTGTAAAGGCAGAGAGGATTGCAGAATCAGCATTGTTTGCGACAAGGTTTAGAAGAACGCCTTTAGAGAGGAGGCTTTACCCATCTCCTTACAAAAATTCTTCCTCAATTAGCAACGACAGTGGAATAGAGAAGTTGAAGACTACAGGGCTATACCTTCTTGTAAGCAGGTGACAGTTTAAGCTGTTCTTGAAGCCAGTTGTAAACAAAAGCATCCTCCTCTAGTCGCTTTTGTTCTAGTTCCAGCTTGTATATCTAAAATATTACAAAGTTGGTTACACAATGGAAGTGACTGCATCCTTAAGATGACGGAAACTTTTACTTTGAAAGATCTTGCAAACTAACAAACCTGTTGACGAAGGCGGTCAAAAGAAGACCTGTCTGCCTTAAATAATAGTGCCTTTGTGATAACAAACTTACGTTGGATTGTATCAGCCCTATCATGGTAAGAAAAAAAAGCAATCAGAATAACAGGGGAAATTAAAATGTTTTTTCATTTGATAAGAATTTGAATGCACTCCTACACCGAATTTCAATTCGAATTGTGGACGCAAATTTCACGAGAATACATTTCCATACAATACAGGTCAGATGCTTCAAATAATAAGCGAAAGTCACAAACACCAGCAAATTAATTATACTAAAATTTAACCTATCATAAAGACTGAATACATATATAACCACATTCAGGTTACTGAGTTCCCTGTGGTTGCAATTGTGCCAACTACAACAACAAAGAAGAAGAAGCCTTATCCGGTTTTCTCCACTAGGTGGGATCAGCTAGAGGGATCGACTTCAGGGAATGTACAATGTCATTGTATTCTATCAACTAGGAAGAACACTACGATATAACATCTTTGAATAATTTTTCAAGAGGACAAATGAAATACACAGAATTCTACCAAAGAAGCATTTTTAGGATATGTAGACGTACTTGTGCTGTAGCTCATTCCTAGCATCAACCAAACTATTAGCAAACTGTACAACCTGCATCACAAACGAGCAGGTTATTTAACTTCTAAGGTGGTTATATTCAAATACAATTGCTGCCAGCATCTCATCTTGAAATAATCCATATTTTGAAAATAAAAAGTGACAGGAAAATCTTTCATTTTCTGACAGAACATGCTTCATTGCTAAATTTGCTCCTTGAAATAACCAAAATTTAAAAGTCTGATCAAATTACAGTTCATTTTTTGACAGCTCTAGGCATTTTCATTTGAAAGACCAGAATCCTTGCGTTGAAGCAATCAATAGAATCACAAGAGACCTTCATGGTCATCACCCTTTTCATGAGGTTATTGTTGAAACTAGGAAGATGCTGTGTAGAAATTGGTTTATAAACCTTAATTTTGTATATAGAGAGTAGAATGAGAATGCTCACTTTTCAGCTAGGTAGCTCGTATTATAGAGGATGATTTTTTCTACCATAATCCATCTAGTAGTCTAGAGGTGGGTTACGCTCAAAGATAATCTTGCACGTTTCCTTGTAGTTGTACTTAGAGTTTTGAATGAAGGTTTTGGTTTATATCTTAAAACAAAATTGTTCTAGAAAATGATCATGATTCATTTCATCTATTTTAAAGCAATATAGAAACTTCTGATTTGCCTCAAACACATGGCACGTTTTGCAACTCTGGCTATGCTTAGCATCTCAATCATGTTTTGAGGCTAACCTAGATTTTATAGAGGATGCAGTTCGCAACACAGAATACTTTGTCATGTTTTTTCTGACCGTTCCAGATCCTGAAACAGATCATAGCCTAGTTTGTCTTTCTGCTTTTCACTACACATGAAAAATATTTTTTGTTTTCCTTGCACAACCTTACATAAAAGAGCATATTTATATCAAAACAGCTCTCTCTGGCAATCTAAACAATTATCTATTACTCCCTCTAATATAAAATTAGCTAATGTTACCAAACATTAACCATGCATATTTTATTTCTATACATTTGCGCTATATTTATAGCATACCTCCGAAGATCCTGAACATGTACTCCCCAAACCTACTCATCCAAATTCAGAAACTGCTTCTGCAAAATTTCAAACAGGTGATAGGTCACCCCACCCGCATCACCCAATACGAAGCTCATAATTCTATATTATACAAGCTAAAAAAATGCTACACAGACCGACCTAATCAAGCAACTCAAGTTGATATCAGGACAATATCATTGGATTGCTTCACTTTTGGAATCAGCCCAACGGCATAATAAGCTGGACCACCAAGGCTAAATAGATATTGTGATTCACTGGTAAAACCTAGAAGGCAATTCAACTCCGCATTGCAGATATGGAAACAAAAAGTCGTAAAAACATTAAAGCAAGCATTTGTAGGCTGCATAATTGCATCTATCAATAAATTACCCGCTTCCAAAACCAGAAATGGATTCCTAGACAAAAGATACTTCTTTTTAACTCAAGATCAAAACAATGGTTTTTAATACACACACACATAAAGTAAGATGAACAATACAACAATCACTCGGATGGGTATAACCTGTTGTAATGTCAACTTCTTCGCCTCGTGGCACTTGACAAGCTCATCATACTGTTGCTTGATCTTCCTCTGCATAGGGCTACTAGAAGAGGTGAACGGGTACAAGCAAACGGATTCCAGTCGAAGCCCGGAATCCGAATCCGAACTCGCTCGCAACCCTTCGCCTCCATCTTCAGCCGAAGAATTCGCTTTCTTCTTCTTCGCCTTCCTCTTCTTCTTCTTCCCCGTCTGGCCCTCATCCGTAGAGTCTCGATTTGGGTCATCGCCACCTTTCTCGTCGAGCACAGTGGTCCATTTCGTAGAATCGGATGGCAACACCTCGAGCAAGAGCGAATGGTTCGGGTTGGTTTCGTTGGGTTGACTAACTCTGTCCCCAGCCTCCGACACAGAATGCTCCACAGTCGACGTCGGGGCGGAGTTCGTATCCGGATTCCGGGCCGCCCCCTTTCGTTCCGGTCTGGAGAGCTTCTTATAAACAGAGAAGGCGGTAAAGATGAAAGAAAGAAGAGAAGCGGAGAAGATGAGAAGGGCGACACAGAAAAAGGGATCGTGCATTTGGCGATGATGATGATGATACAGAGGAATGATTGATTGTTTAGAATGAAAGAGACGGAAGATTTGTGAGGAAGGTAAAGAAGCGGCCATGGAAGATGTTGAAGAAGAAGAAGAAGCGTGTCATTGAGAGAGGGGGGGAAAGGGAAAGAAGAATTGTGAAAGCAAAGTAATGGAAATCCCGCAGCGAGTTTAGCCGCTTTGAAGGTTCAATTTTTGATCTGTTTCCTTCAGTTTGGGGCTAAAGTGATGATGGTGGGCCACATCTCTTTTAGATTAGCAATAGGAACCTTTTTTTTTTCTTTTTTCTTTTTTAAAAAAAACCAAGATGATAATTACTACCTCCTGTCCTTAATATAAGATCCTATTTGACTTTTATTTTGGTCTTAAATATAAGACCCCAATCTATTTTGTCTCTCATATTTATACATTTTTTTCCAAAGTAACCTTTCTAACAATGATAGTTTTAGTCAATACACTTTATTAGTAAGGATATTTTAGAAAAGACAACACATATTTAAGACAAATAACTAATTCAACTTACTTTTTTAATCTCTTCAAATTAGTTAATTGGTTCTCATAATTAGGATCGGAGGTTGTATAACGCTTCTTTTGTTCAACAAAAATCAATCATTTTTGTCTGAAAAATATCTTGCAGATTTTAAGAGGGAATTGAACAGTTGAACGGATGGTGCTTCACCATCTCGCTTAGATTCGATTTGGTTGTACTTCATGTGAAGGAATGTGTCTTTGTTTTATGGTGAGTTCAGATGAGAATGAATAATATGAATGGACATCCTTTCCTTTTTTTTTGTTTAATATTTTATTACAAAACATGATTTTGTTTGTTTCCTTATTAAATTTAATAATTATCACATTAATTATATATGGATATTCTATGGCAGAAAATATAATTATGTAAAATCAATGATGGTAAATAAATATACAAGTAATTTGTGATTATACATGTTTGTTCATTACTTTATTTGATATGTTAAATACAGTCAACAATCTCTTTGAATTGTTAAGATATATAGGGAGAAAATTATTTTCTTTTGTATATTGTTTTTAAGAAATAAAAATAAAATAAAAATCTTTAAAAAGATTATACATGAAATCTAGCTAGGCTGTCCAGATTTTCATATCTACTGATGAAGCAAGAAGGCAAAGGTTGAAGCATGAAACAATCTGAACTACGTGTGTACGTTCTCTGTTCATCTCTCTCCCTCTCTACACACACACACACATGCCCATATACTTCTCATTGGCCTTGATGTTACTGATGTAGCAGGTTGCCGAATTCTCAAGTCAAGACTAACCAAGATAACCCTTTTTTGGCTCATCATTAGTATATATGCACGTTATTGTCATACCTTTCCCATTGATTTTATTGTAAAATATTGATTACTTCATGAATTCTTTTATATATAGGCTAGGCGTGAATTAAGTGTAAGATGATGGTAATGTCAAAAGGCAATAATTGAATTCAACAACCACATCAAAATGATGTACCAGATCTTATTGGCTTGGGACGTTTCATACAAGAAAGAAAGAAGCAACTAAAATTGCCTCTCAGAAGATTACAAGAGGGAATTAAAAATAATACTACAGGAAGCAAGAGGCTTCTTCAACACTGAAACAACAGGAAACATTTTTTTGCACATGGACTCAATTACCATCGTCTCAATGTGCATCTAGCAGCAATGATTCTTCAGTTTTACTTCTTAACCTTTTGAATTAGGCAGAAGATAGAATACCAATACTCTATTCACAGAAATCCACAATCATCTTATCAGCAATCTCCCTACAGACTTTTTAACCAAGGAGTGTTGTGTTTCTTCTGCAACTTCACCTTGGTAAAGAGCCAAAGCAAATCAATGCTTGAGGGCTATCTTGTATTGTAGTGGTAGACTTGGTTGATCACTAAAAGATCTATGCACGGTGGGGGAAAGAAGGAAAAAAAAAAAAACAATAGTGAAGATCACCCTGGTAACTTTATCCCCATTTTGGTTTTCTGGGAATAATAATCATCATCTTCATCAGGTACAGATGGCCTCCACTGAGAGTTTCTTCATGACGTTTGGGCATGGGTCTCCTCCAAAATTTTCAGGAGACACGGCCACTGTGCATGAGTTCTGCCCAACACAATTCTGAAACAGCAAACTCAATATTGAATAGTGATCCAAGTAGGAACTTAGAAGAAGCCAAAAGAAGCAGTAAACTAAAAGGATCACATGGCCTACGGAATTGAAGTAATAAGATTTTGTAAACAAAGCCTTGAAATTTGTGTTTCTTAGGCACTGTTTTATCTGTTTGGCCAAATACTAAGTGCTTCTTTGTAACAGTAGGGGTTGAAAAAATGATACTTTCATGGAAAGAAATTTTCAAATAAGTGGAAATTGAAAGCACAGACAATAAACGACAGAATGAAGAAGAATTAATACCTTTTGAAAGGCATCGTATGACTTGTGCGCATGGCAGCCTCCTTCACGGAAGTTTCCACAGGACCCTATTGGAGTACCGAAGCTAGCAAATTTGATGGAGGAGATTTTCTGGCCCGGGCCACATGACAAATGAGCTTTTGGTCTCACTGGTTTGCTAGATTTACCAGAAGTTTGCATCTGATAACTTATGAGGTTTGGTTGCCACTCATATATATCAGCACATGCTCTATCTATATCCCTTCTAGCCAAAAATATTCCATTGGGGTCTCCACCCATTTCTTCAAACACAACGAGTAAGTTTCCAGTTGGCTTCAGCCATGATTGAGGAACATGATACCTGAAATCATAAATCACTAGTAAGTTTGCTAATAGCTCCTCACCAGCATTTCCTTTTTTTCTGTTTTTTGAACCAAAAAAAGAAAAGAAAGAAAAAGATAAATTACTGATTTTGTCCTTAAAGTTTCATGACGTTTTTATATTCACAGCAGAGACTGAGATTTGTAGAACTATAGGGACTAAGTTAAAATCTTTTGAACAATAAGATCCAACACATTCAATTTGACTTCAGCGAAAGTTACTTATTTCTCACCATCTTTGAGAAGCCTCGCCACAGTTGCTACTGCATTTCTTCTCACTATAAGTTCCAGCATAATCACAGTCACCACAAGTTCCAGAGGCTTTGTAGGCAGGCCAGTAGCGACCAAGGCTCTGTCCATTTATCCAAATTTGACCTTTGCCCATGCTGCCCATGTCTAAAGCCAGCGGCGCAACTCCACGCGGGGCATCAAAAGTTGTCTGTAATAATATTAAAAGGATGTTAAGTTATGTCACTACTTTTAGTATTATTAATGATGATTACTAGTAATGCAATTAAAGAGTGGATGTTAAGAAGTTATGAAAAGGTCAGTATAATCATGTTTTTAAGCAAAACCAAAGATAGAGTCTTTGTGGTCCTCACTTTGAACCAAGTCAATGGCTGTCTTCTTGCAACCCAATATCCCTGAGTCCACTCAATTGATGGACTACCACTGAGAGAATGAAGACCCATATCTTCACCTTTAAGGCCAACCTGAAAGAAGCATAACCTCCAATGAATCTTAAGGAAAATCCAGCAACAGAAGATACAGGAAGCACACAAACGTTTCAAAAAAAGAACCTTGTAGGACCATTTCTGCCATGACAAGTCCCTTTTTCCCTCATTGAGACCGTCTAATGAAATTGGGCCAAGAACGCCAGCATTCCATCGTTCAAAATGTGGACCAACGTTCTGTATGTCAACAAAAATCAGGACAGGGTTATTTAGTCAAGTTCATAACTCAGCTTTATTGCTGGAAAATCAAAATAGGGAAAGGATATATTCTTCAATGCATGGGGTGTGTGTGTGTGTGTGTGGAGAGAGAGAGAGAGAAGGAAAGGGAGAGATAGACAGACAGACCGGAAGTCCAACTGCAACACTTAGCAGGGAGATTTTGTTAACACCAGCTCTTAACTTCACGCTTTGACTAAACGTTAGCTTTGGGAATTCTAAACTTCCGAATGAAGTTCCTGCCATAAGAAAAGAGTAAAATGCTCAGCCAAAAATTATAAGCTTGCAATATAAAACAGCGTGGTAGAGTTGTTAAAAGCAAGATAACGAAGCTAAATTAAGGGTTTCCATCAAGCTTGTAAAAAATCACCAGATCAGATACTGAACGATTATGCCTTCTAATTCTATCAATTCCCCTGAAGCATACATCAAGTGACTTTCCCCACAAACAAACCTTGGATTTAAAAAAGGAAAATGGATCTTACTAGGAAAGAAAAGGTATGGAATTGGAATAATTTTTTAAATTCTTGGGATTGTTCATAAAAAAATGGATGTGTCGGTATTCTGCATAAAAAGCTATGCTGCTCACCTGCCAGCTGACCATTGACAAAAACATGCAAAGCATGTCCAGCAGACAAGACTGTAAGAACAGGATCCTTTCCATTCTTCAAAAAGCCTTCATTGGAATTAATCACAACACTGAAAAGAAAAGGAATGAGTATTAAAATTTGAACAAGGAATGAATAATCAGCTTTATCAATGAAGAGTCTAGCCAAAGATAGTAGGGAAAATAAATGGAGAAAGCTAGTTGCAGAGTTATGAGTTTCTTACTCTGTGGAGTACCACAGGTAATCAGATGCATCTCTCGTTGTATTTATCTGCTCCAAAAGGCCAGAAGTGGTGAAGGTGCTATCATCAGTAGAGGTTGTCTCTTCATTGAATGCTTGCCAAGAAAGTCCTCCATGCATAGGAACACGAGTCATTTTCATCAGTGCACTCTGAGACCCAACCTGCACAGAGATATTTTATTTACTTGATCAGTTGGTCAATCTAGTCTGTGACTAAAATCTCTGTTATAATTGACCCAGCTAAACATATGAAATAAACAGCCATTTAATTTGTTTTCTCACCCTTGCAGTGTTATAGACAGTATTCTTGCAATCTGGAAGAATGCTTATAGACCATGGGGGTAGGTTGTAATGCATATTTCCAAACGACACTGTTGCAAAAGATCTTGGGTCATAATTTGCAAGGAATGCAGCACAAGCTCCTGACTTTGATTTGAAGACATGAGCCTGGACAAAAAGTTAAAAGAAACTTATTAGTTCTTAGGATTGATTTTTTTTTTTTTTTGGGGGGGTGAACTTTGTTATTAGACCTCTTGATAGTTT